TCCTTTGTGGCGCATGTACTGTAAGGACACTGACATCTGAGATGTGTGAGTCAGCTCCTAAAAGCACAGCAAACCATAAGCTATGTTATTAGAAAAACAATTCTAAGTTACAAGCAACAAATCACAGGGATAATGTGCATTCGATGGCTTCTTGGATTTAAAAAGTTTCTGTTGGGCAGCAGGAACAGGGTGACCGGACCAGATGCCCCCTTCAAATATACTGCAGACAGATATGTGCAGCTATTTGCCCATGTGCTCTGACAGGAACCATTTTATTGTGACTATTACAGTGAATGAATGTTCTGGAAAATAGTCATCTTTGTGAAACTTGTTGTCAAGGGCAGGGCAGATGATGTAGGTGTTGTACAAAGAAAAGAAACTGCCCACTTTCTCTCTCTCTGAATCATCTGTTCACTCTGTCACTTCCTTTTTTTGCCCTCTCTGTGGTGTAAAGGAGAACGACAGCAGTGTCTAGATAATGCAGTGCAGATTGGTAGAATTCAGACACAAAAGATATTCATAGTATTAACCTGATGTTTTTCTGATGACATCCTATAGAAACTGCTGTAAATTTTCATTGTGTCACTTTGCTTATTATGACTTATTCAGTGCTTATTAGCAAACAACAGATCCCATGTAGCTACCTTTGTCTTGTATATCAAATCATTTTTAATTTAACTACAACTGAGGCACAGACATGAACGCTGTCTTGATGGTAAGAATTTTGTGTATAAATTTACAGTACATTAGTGAGCAATAGTAATGTAAAGTACACGTTATAATAAACAGGCTAAAACATGCAAAACCACCAGTATGGTATTTTAAAGAACCAAAGACTTATAACATAACTGCATGTTGTTTTAACAACTGTGGCCCTGTCTGATACACATCTGTGAAAGCTTTGTAAACTTACAATATTGCGAGCTGAGTCGTTTCGGATCGGATCTTCAGCAGCAAGTGAGACAGAGCTGAGCATGATGAATACCAGGATGAGGTTGGTGAATATATGATGATTGATGAGTCTGTGGCAAAACACACGAACCCTGGAGGGCAGCAAGAGATCAGTATGCTATGAGATGCTACTCGCATGTATGTGTGCAGTCTCTGTCATGTGAGTGTTTCTTACGGGTTTGTGTTGCTGAAGATGAAGAAGGCACTTCCCTCTGGGATAGGGGTGATCTTTTCCTTCTTCACCAGCTCAGAGATGACAGGCCGAGGCCCCGATGGTACTTCTGGATCCTCCTCCTCTCCGGCTGTATCATCATTGTCCTCCTCCTCATCCTTACAGTGAATTTGTCTTAGTGAATGTAACTTCTAAAACTGTGTGCATGCATTTCTTTATGAAGTTAAGGATACCTTGTCATCTTTATCATCATCCTTTTTGTCCCTGTAATGAAGAGGTATTTTTATGAATGACAGAGTAAATTTTGAGCATGTACGGTATTTAAAGCTAATGTAAAATTTTTATGTTAGACTTAATAGGAAATCAAGTAGTCACCCCTTCTTGTCTCCTTCATCTGTGTTGAGAGACTCTGCATCGGCCAAGTTGTCCACAGCAATAGCCAAGAAGACATTCAGGAGGATATCTGACCAAAGTGCCCAGTAAAGGACAATTCTCTTAGTACCAGCACTGAGTAAAACTCTTCTTATGATCAGATGAAAATTACTTATGTACTTATCCTTTAACTTAGATAGACTTGTGAAGATGTTATCTCTATGTGTGTTATTATGAGTGAGAGAGGATACAGTTTCCACAGATGAAAAGGATGATGAAGTAAAAGCACACGATCATCCCAGAGGAGGAAGGGCCTCCGTACGCCATGATCCCATCGTACATAACAGTGTTCCAGTCTTCCCCGGTCAGGATCTAAAATCAATCATAACACTTATTTTGCATCAACAGTAATGTAATGGCTATAGAGGGAATGTACTGAAAACACATTTTCACATAGTAAAAACCCACAGTCCCTGATGAGTGACCACAATACAGCCACAGTGATATTTCCTTACAAATATACTGTATGGACATTATTTTGAGGTAGAGCACCAAAGAATTTCAGAATTGTTAGCAAAATTATGAGGACTTTAATCACACAGAGAGCAGTCGATTAAGATGGAAACATTAAGTAGCCCAAAAAATCTGAGGGCAATGTAACACACTGTACACAACATGACGACTACATGATGTTTTGGCACCAGGATTGCATTTATCCATTGGTTTGCTAACTATATTTAGACTGGCTATACCGGATTTCTGAGGGTGACACTGATACTGATAATTTTGATGTGAATCCCTTAGATTGCTTCTTAAAATTCTGTCATGTAGTCTCATTGTTATTGAACCTGGAACCTTTTTGCTGTGAGGCAACAGTGCTAATCATGGTGCTACCATGCTGCTTTTCTCACTACATGACACATAAATTTCTTTCAGACAGTGTAACTATGGAAGCTAACAGACTCATGCAAGATGCGATGTGATCCTCCGAGTGACACATGTGCCAGCCAACTGCCTCCTGTGCACACAGTATTAGGCTGATGGTCATAATGTTATGGCTGATCGAAGAATGCTGTACATCTGTATATCTTCAGCGAGCTAATAGCTCCAGATATATCGCACAGTATCAGTCTACTGTAGTTCTAGTTCTCCTCTCTTTAGCCTTCAACAGTCTGTAACAACCTCCTGCCATAGATTTTCTTGTATCTGTTTGTACAACCCCAGCCCCCCGTGACCCCGTTTGGGACTAAGCGGTATAGAAAATGGATGGATGGATGTTTGTACAACCAATACAAATGCTGAATGTTTGCCACTCAGATGGGAGTTTCCGTGGTTTACAGTCATGACACAATCTGAACTGTAGAACAGACTGTAATTACCTGAAACACAGTGAGAAGGGCTTGGGGAAAGTTGTCAAAGGTACTCCTCTTGGGTTGGCTCTCGACAAAGTTGAACTTTCCACCAAACACCTGCATGCCCAGCAGGGAGAAGATGATGATGAAGAGGAAAAGCAGCAGCAGCAGGGAAGCAATGGACTTCATGGAGTTCAGCAGAGATGCCACCAGGTTGCTCAGTGACTGCCAGTGTCTACAAAAAACAGTGAAGAAGGAGAGAAGGGGAGAGATGTGATTAATTAAACACCACACATGCTGTACAATAAACACACACACAAACACAGCATGATAATGAGCCTACCGTGTGACTTTGAAGATCCTCAGCAGGCGGACGCAGCGGAACACAGAGATACCGAGGGGAGACATGATTTCCAACTCGACCAAAATTGTTTCAGTGATTCCTCCACACACCACGAAGCAGTCAAAACGGTTAAACAGTGAAACAAAATAGGCCTGTAGCCCGAGACTGTACATCTTCACCAACATTTCACTTGTGAACAGGGCCAAAAGCACCTTGTTGGCCACATCTGAAAGCCAGAGAAAAAGACAGAACAATAAAAATGCACAAATAAACGGAAAGAAAGGGAGATAAGGTGTATAAGGTGACATGCACTGAGGCTGCGTTTTCCGCCTAGAATATACAGTATATGAAAAATGAATTATCATCTCTTAAAATGCTCATAGACAACAAATGTCTTCTAAGGCTGAACAGTTCAACAATTAATATACAGAAAACAGGTCTTTTAATCATGTCCACTAACATTTTAATCACATCTAGGTTTAATCTGTATGTGAATATGAATTTGCATCAAATTCAAATAAGAATATTAGACAACCATTAAATATATGAGACAATGTCATTAAAATATCTGCAGTGAAACAAGAAATGTGTAGTAAACAAACACTTGGTCCACAGTCAAATTTATCACCTAATTTCATTCTACTATTACTATATTAAGAAACACACAAATAGATGAACGAGGTACTGACGAAACCACATTTTGTCATTTTGGAAAAAGACTTTCATATGTACAGCAGTGTTGCTCATACCCTGCACTTGTGTCAGCCACAAAGGCTGGTCATAATGCTCTGATGATATGGTGAGGGTGTTGAGGAACACCAGGACGATGACCAGCCAATAGAAAGGCACCGATTTGACAGCCAAACGACACTTCCTCCGGCAGAATCTGTTCCAGCGGCGCCAGCGCCGACTGAAGGAGGGGTAAGAGACGTTAGTACCAAGAATAACACTAGTGGGACTCACTTTGCTAATACATCGATTTAGATGAACACAGGAGCTGGTCACTGAACTTACTGCATGATGTCCATACAAAACAAACACACCGTTTTAAGGAAAGCACTATGGTTCATTTCCAATAATAATAAGAATGCACTGGACTGAGGTGGAAGAGCCACGGGAGAATGGCATCAATTTTTTTTTTTTTTTGCAAATCGTACATTAAATGAGCCGAAAACTACTGTGTAAGGGTTTTCTCTAAAAATACCTTATGGTACATGCTGACTATATAAAAGCTGTTGATTTATTATCCCAGTGAAATCTCATTTAAATACAGTAAAATGAATGCCAAGTATAATAATATGCATCATGCACAGACAGACCCACAAATGTACTGACCTGAACTTTGACTTGGAAATTTTTTGACTGAAAGAAAGAAAATTTTGTCAAACTTTACAAATGCAGGTTATAGCAGAAGACTGTTTGGAGCATTGACTGGTTACTGTGGTTTAACTGACAACAACAAAAAATGTGCAGCTGCAAAAGTCAGTAGCAATAAACATGTAATGAGTTGTTTGCTTTAACCAGGTTGCCACTGTTGTTTTACCACATATCAAAAAGTGCTATTTGTGATACCTGTAAAGAGAGAGATCTATGCTTTTTAATCTCTGTAGCAGTGGTCTGACCAGAAAGGGGAGCAATCTGACGTGCTGTAATTTCATGTAATAACAGTGGTTCTGTTTGTTGTGCAAACTGCTGTATGTTCTCACCACAGAGGTCCACAGCATGGTGTCTTTTCATCCTCCCCGTTCTGATTCTCGGTGTTCACAGATTCTGTTTCGCTGGCAGGAACGCTCGCTGCGGCAGCAAATAAAGCAGACATTTAAAAAAAAATAGTCATATGTACTTCACAGTGGCACAAGATTCTTCAGATAAACAGTGCAGTGCGATCAAAGAGGAAGAAGGTGTGAAAAGAAATACAACGGAGACTGCCTGCTTCACAATAAGGTAATTCTGACAGAATTTTCTTCCAAAAAAAGATACACAAAATACCACAGAACATTTTGTAGAAAACTACAAAACTACCTCATAAAAATGAAGGAGCTAAGTGCTGTGGCTGTGCATCACTGTTATCAGTATCATTTACCAAGTGCTGAGAGGGAGCTGGCAGAGGACAGGAGAGTGGACAGCTGCTCTGTGAGGGCTGACTGATGCAGACAATGAGGCACAGAGGGTAGAAGGGACCAGAGTGAGGAGGACAGAGCTCTTAGAACTGCCTCTGAAATGCTACACTCAAAGTGCTGCCAATGCTTTGAGAAGACTGTCTGTGCAGGCAGATGATAATTAACTGTGTGAAACATCTCAATGCTTTAACTTGTGTGGTGTGTGCTACTGCTGAGCTTATGTAGATGTGCCGGCTTTGACTCTTGAGCGGTTGGACAGCTCTCAGCCCTGAAAATAGTGCTAACTGCTGGAGTAGTGATCTGGGTTTAGCCTTGTTTCCTATGTTCATAGTGAGTCCCTGCTTTTGAAATGGGACATGGGAAGGAAACGGGGCGTGTCTGCTAGCAGCTGTATTTCTAGAGACTTACTCACTCAGCAGTCATTTAGGATACTCCAACCGGATTTTTGGGAATCTGCTGCTCTTCTTTGAAAATCATTTCCTCATTTCGAGAACCATCTATTCATCAGTAATATATTTGTGAAGAATGCGCCAATGATTTTTCACTAAGTGACTGTGATGTGTTGCTTTGTCTACAGTAGTACAAGATGGAAAGCAAGACCGCTGTCTTTTTTTTTAATAACCTTCCTGTGAGTGCAGACCAGGAGACTATGAGGTCAGTTTGCAAATCAAACACGCACATATACACACTAGAGAACACTGAAGGAAAACCACAGGATTTACCATGAGTGTCAGATGACTGGCTGAACCAACCAAACCTTCCTTTCTTCTTCCCAGTAAGGTCAGCCAGAGTCACCCCTTCATGTGTAATGCATGCAAGCCCATGAATTCACACACAGTGGTACAGCAGAGGGATATGGGAGACGAGAATGAGCTGCTATCAAAATGAGTCAGAGCAGACAAGCACCACAGGACAACAGCATTCAAAATATCAACATCAGACAATGACAAGAGCAGCAGGAGCCACAGAGGCTGCAGACACTGAGGAGGGCAGAACAACAACATGGAGAGCTGTTAGTCACTGGAAGCACCGGCACATGATGAGGCCTTGTGCTAACATGTTAGGCTGCAAATTCAAATGTTTACATGTTAACACATTAGTAGCGACTCAAGTATCATTGACAGACGCCAAAAGCCAGGATGGATGTTGAAGAAAAGCAGTATGGATCTTCCTCCTCATAATACAGAACCTTTAACCTTTTCTCTGCTCAATAAAACAATGTTTTTCCCCTTTTTTCCAGTAATCACAGCATGCTGAACTTCAGTTTTCTGTATTACTCTTTACCACACGAAGGAGAGTGTGGGAGAAGGTGCTTACGGTTGCGCTTGCTCTCCTCATCAGCCTCATCCTCATTGTCAGGGTCGATGTCTTCGGCCTGAGTGATCCAGTCCAGGTAACCCTTCAGATCCTCCTCAAGCTGCTGCTTCTCACGCAGCTTCTGGAAGTCTCCACGAGCTTTGGCCTTTTCCCTCTCCTTGGAGAACTCTCTGGGTTGGTAGAAGCACACAGAAACAAAACATGCAAACACAGGCAAATAATCAGGACAGAAAAATAACCAAATACACACACATGCAAACAGGAACTAACTTTCACAGCAAATGATAACATCTTTTCACACAAAATGAAAATAAACAAGTCTGACCTCTTTTACAAAATAATTTCTAATAGTAGGACGACGGTTCATGACACTGAATAAAGATATCGTGCATGCATTTCCTGTCCTCTTTGTCCATACTGTATTCTTCATGTTTACATACTTCAGGCAAAGCCTTTTCAAGCGTTTCAGTATGACAGAACCCTAGCCACTGGAGGGAGACGTACCCCTTTGAAAGCCAACACACTGCTATATTTAGAGCTCGACAGTACAGTAGCGTATCCTTCAGGCGAGCATCTTAATCATACAGAAAAGGCAGTATAGGTAGACAGATGGTTTCAAGAGACATGCAGCATTTGCACAGCATCTGAATTTCATGGAATATATGAAACAATGACAGTTGGAACTGCAATGTGTGAAGGTTCAGAAGTAAATAGTGTATATGCAGTGCATAGTGGGATATTGTCATTACTGAGGAAAATATGTATTTAAGCTGCGATGACAAAATGGCAATGGCAATTGACAAAACATGAGAAAAACTGGCACAAAGACAAAAATACTTAATGGTAGTATCTGTAAAACTGTTTAAAAAGTTGATGCAAATAATAAATCATGCCAATCTCAAGCAGCTTTGTTGTCTTTTTTTTTAACTGGGTTTTGCTGGCTGGTCAACCATCTAGAGTTAACTGTACTGTAACACTCCACCCCCACTCCCTACAGCTGGATAAGCAAACAGGGGTTGGAGAGAGCTTAGGAGCGCAGAGGGAGTGAAGGGCAAGGAATAAGATTCATTTCTGTCTCAGGAGGTTAGGTGTGTATGGGGATTGGGGTGGAGGAGAAAGTGCTCACTTTGCAGTTGCCATGGAAAGAATAGTTTGACACCAGTAGAGTTCTGAGAAGAACGCTTAAGAAAGCATAAACATTCATCTTCAGGGCCTCATGCAGAGTAGCCAATTAACGGTTTATTATCTCAAAAGGTTTGCATAAGATTGTCAGCTGCGGACTTGTGTGGCTCATATTTGAAGAATCTGCAGCACAGAAAATGCTCATTTATGAGATAAATCTACTTCCCAAACAGAGCAAAGAGTGTCAGGGTGCACAAAAACCTACAGCACAGTTTGCACACTGCAGACCAAAACCACTGCACGCGTTGTCTCTTACCCACTTAGCACACCTAACACAAGGTTTAACACGAAAAAGGAGCCCAGTATGATCAAGCTAACAAAATAAATCCAAGGTGTTTCCCGACCAATGGCATCATTGACCTACAGGAGTCAAAAGTAGTTGGTTAGCAGACAGAAGCAAACACAAGAACAGAGAATCTCCAGCCTGCTACCAAGCAGAAGGCCTCTGTCTGTAAAGAACAAAAGGTGCTTACCCGCTCAACACACCCAAAACCAGGTTAAGAACGAAAAAGGAGCCGAAGATCACAAGACTGACAAAGTACACCCATGGAAGCTCAAAGCCCATAGCATCATTCATCTGGAGGATCAAGCATCAGGGGAGGAGAAGAGAGGAGGAATGAAGAGAAAGAAAAGAGTGAAATAAGCTTTTAAAGCTAGAAACTGTCAGAAAAGAAGAACAGTACACAAGTTGAATAACTGATTTTTCTTCAGATAAGGAAAATTGGTAATTTGCAGGAATATCGATAGTGGCAGGATAGGAGGATAGTCAATCAATCATATCAAGAGTGATAAGAGCTGCCTCAGGAAATGATCAGCAGCCTCATCATCAGAATGTCACTCACATTACTGTTGTGTCTAAATTGAACAGACATTTAAGGCCAAAGGCATGTGACAGTCACAGGGTAATGAAGCAGGAGGTGGCTCACCCAGTACAGCACCTCTGTCCAGCCCTCCATAGTGATACACTGAAACACTGTCAGCATGGCAAACAGGAAGTTGTCAAAGTTGGTGATGCCATTGTTGGGACCTTGCCAGCCTTCCCTGCACTCCGTGCCATTGATGGGGCATTGGCGCCCGTGCCCTGAGATCGCACATGGAGCTGGTTCATCTTCCGCTATCACAGCTACAGAAAAAAAGCCAATAGAAATGGCTTGTTACGATCAACAGCACTCAGATTTACTACAGCAACAAAATGTTTCTTAACAAACCTAAAAAACCCAGCAGATAAATAATGTCAACAGATATCTGACATTTTTTTTCCACAGAGTGTAATGTGACTGTCACTCATGCTATCTGCAAGGAGAAAGCTGCTGGAATATGAAAAGGAAAAAGAGTAAGCTTTACTCTAGTAAATATTTTGTTGTAACTAGAAATTTACTAATCATGTTTTTGCCCCAGATGAGAGGCTTTCTTAGACCTGTCTGCGACTTTCTTTCTTTACATTTGTGCAAGATGTAATACATATAAGCTTTTAGGTCAACCTGTCTTGAGGAATTGAGGGAAAAATCCTTTGTGCACCTGTTCAGCTGAGCACATGTAATGTAAGATTAAAAAGTAGGCTGGTTTTACCTTTAGAATCAAGTTGAAATATATGTTGACATTTGCTGAAAATCTACACTACATTTTAGGTCAGACTACTTTCAAAAATAACTACTTGCTACAATAAAATGCACAGTGTATACACTAAAAGGTTGATTAGATTTTATGTATATGTAAATCAAGAGGGCATACCTATGCCAGAAAAATAGCAGGTTGCGTGCATTTTTCCGATGAAAAGCTCAAGGCCGATAATAGCATAGATGATAATGACGAACAAGACTAAGAGGGCAATGTGAAGAAGAGGGACCATGGCTTTAATGATGGAGTTCAACACCACCTGTAAACCTAAGCACAGAAAAAAAACATTATATGAAACCTTGCTGTGTTTTGTATAAGTGTACATGAATTCACAGTACGAAAATATGGACACAAACCTCAGTTGCTACAATTTCTATTGAATGCAATTTAAAATAAAGGTATAGTAATTTGACTGTGCTTACAGTGTAGTTCAAATCATAGCAGGCTGATGATGTTAACATTTTGTTAATCAAAAAAACTAGAATTGCCACTTCAAGGTTATATGCCTTCACCAATCAGGCAAAATCACTTGAATGGTGAGGCCACAGACCTTGACCTTTGACCACCTAAATTGAATGAGTCCAAGTGGACACTTGTGGCAAATTTGAAGAAATTCCTTCAAGGCGCTCCTCAGATATCGGCCGTGGCTATCGCCGATGTTCAGGCATATAAGTGTAGTCTCATCCCTTTTTGTAAAGGAATACTGTCAAAACTGATTCCAATTTCACTGTATAGTTCAGTACGTCTAGAAGCACATGTAGACCATAAATATGTCCGAAGTGTTTGCTCTGAGTTTCTCCTGAGCTCGTGCCGTTAAAGCACTGATGTAGATGTTGAAAAGATGTTTTTTAAAAACTGCCCTCGGGGATGACACACAGACCATCTGGACTTACCAAGTGTAGCCCTACAGTAGCTTAACTGGGAGGCAGGACTAAGATAATTATGTAAAATATATTTCAATTCTTATGTATTGGGTTATACTGGGTTATTCGTGTTGGTTGTGGAGCTGAGCAGTCCTCACTACTTACTGGGTACTCCTGAGACCAGCCGCAGGGGTCGCAGCACACGGAAGGCTCGAAGGGCTTTAACATCAAATCCTCCTGGTTTACCTCCATGCCCATGCGCCGTTGGATGGCTACTAGCTCCATTGCCCTCTCCCTTCTCATCTTTGGTCAAAAACTCCAAGACAACACTGAAGAGTCTGTCGGAAAACAAAGAGAAGAAACACACTTATTGTATTAGCCTGCTGAAGAAAACATATAACATTTAGATGCTTCATTTTTCCATAGCATTCTTATCCGAGTTCAACTAATTAGTTGGTTCATCAATTAGTCATTTAACAAAAAAATCAGGCAGTTGTTGCTTTGACAGCTGTAACATATTTTTGGCTTTGGACTGTTAGTTGATGTCCCCTAAGCTCTGGAATATTACACTGTGCAGTTTATTTCCTGACATAATGAGTGCATTGTGTTCAACCTACAAGCTAATGTAAGTATATGTACCAAACACTAAATCATTCCCTTCAGTAAGAGACTTAAAAGTTAAAATTTATGATTTGTCTTCCTTACTTTTCTACAGCTAGTAAGTCCCACTTTCACTGCCTTCACACTAAACCCTTAATACTCTTACCTGGCTGACTGTGTCTTTTATTGTGCTGTTGCTGATCCTCTGAAGTAACATTTTCCTGTTAAACTACAGTGTAT